GCCCATCGCTGTCTGGCAAGTCTGTGGCAATGAAATAAGGTTGGAACAAGGTACGGGTGACGACACCGGATGTTGAAGGCAGCAAGGCGTCCTTGCACCGTTTGGGCGCTGAAATGACGATGACTTGTCCGCATTGTCCTCCTTGCCTAATAATCAGCTGTTTGGAACCGATTCCGCAAGTGTGAAACGTGGATATTGCGGTTTTGTCGAGTTGGTGCACCAGGTCGCGGACGATCAGCAACACTTCCGGTAGCCCGAAAGCGTTGTCTGAGTCGACTTACAGTGGATGGATGCACATTAAAGTGCCTGGCAATCATCACATCTGAAGCACCTTGGCTGACCATACCGATAACCTGATTCCTTTCGTCTTGTGTCAAGTGTGGCATTTTCTCAAAGTGATTGAGCTCCACAATTCCTTGTGCTTTTACAGGGCCTGGGTGCAGGAAATGCATATGCACAACGTGTTTTATGAATGTGGTTGTGTTTACGAGAAATGTCAAAGGTTCAGTTTTAAGTATCAAAGTTCATGTGAGAGGAATGCTCCGTGACTCGAACTCGAAATGGGCCAGAATAACAGCCTTTTATCCCTACATCCTCTGTATCGCAGGAAGAAATCTTCAATAGCACTTTTGTTAGTTTCAGGACAACAAATACCAATTGCGTTTTTAATGGCTTACAGTATATATTCCTATGTGTCCTATGCGTACCAGCATATATAAACGCAAAATTATGACTGGTAATATATCAAGCTAGAGCTAAATCTTGCTCCTTCATCAGGTAATGTTTCAGAGCTAATTCTTGCTCCTTCATCAGATGAATGATGAAGTTGCAAGAATTAGCTCTGAAACGTCGTGTAAAGAATTAAAAAGAAGTTCTTATCCATAAAACGTGTCATGTATTCATGTTCGTCCAACTTCTAAATGTCTTTCAAAAACATCAATGAAGAAGCCTAAAGTAAAAACACAATATCAAATGTTCCTATTCAGATTAAGGATATCGAACTTCTAATTATCTCTCGGTTCTTGTACAAAACGCCTCTCACACCAAGAGACATGCTCGGGTTCATATCTTCATCAACGATCACGACTAATTAGTTCACCTTCTCATGTCAAGGAATCGTGATTGAAAACTATTTTCCAAATAGGAGCGATAGTTCAAATCCACTGTTTATGAATCATTATGAAACAGGTAATTCGGGTGTTGCAAATGTAAGAGTAGGATATTATCCTGTTCACAGCTGGCACTCGTTGGGAAATCAAATAGGCCCGAGAACTATCATTGGTCATCCATAAAAAACAGATTTCACTTAGCGTAAAATCATTTGACAAAGCTCACAAGAAACCACATTCCCAGAATTGTTCTATCCATTGGGTAGGTTCTTAATGGTAGTAAACTGAAGCCCACAACAGCATTGAATCAGTGTAAAGGTAGTTCCGGATTAAAATTCCATTTCAGTCAGTCCAATCCAACATTTTCTGACAAATGCAATTTAATCATTATCTGTGGAAATAGCGCGGTGTCGGGTACAGTTAACGTCATGTCCCCGAAATCCTGATGTGTTTCATTACAAACAATAATTGATACACCCAACAAACACTTCCATGTGAATCACAATATAAACGCGTAAATTCTGTCCAGCACCCTGTTCCTCACTGACATTTGGCATCAGTTAACATTATATGTTCCCCTCGATCGAACTGTTGTCGGGCTACTCCGAGCTATCGTGATGGCCTATTCCCAACAAAGGTGTGTGCTTTAAAATTTTGTTGTGGACGAAGTACCATTCCCTTGCAGTTGTTGTTTTTCTGTGTGTTGAGGAAGTATAAAAAACTCTTTCCTCATTCCTGTTACTGAAATTTGCCATTGTTTTTTCCCCTACGTGTTGAGGAAGTATATAAAACTCTTTCCTCACTCTTGTTACTGAAATTTGTTCCATTATTTATTTGGTATTATTGGAAATATTTCACAATGCATCGGTATATGATAACCGTTTCTGAAAGATTTGTAAAGAATGAAGTGACGCCAATATAATGAAATTACAAAATGAATGAAATCCACAACAACATAAAGACCCCCGAGTTTCAAATACACACAACAAGGTAACATTTGTAACAACTGTTATTTGATTGGGAACTCGGACTTGAGTTTACTCAGATTAACCCTTATAATCGAGTGCTATTCAAAGCCTATGGATATAGCCACAAACATGATGGGCGTTTTGTGCAATATGTTCAAATATATTTTGCTGGAATAAATGCTAAATACATTTTATGATGTAATTCTATTATACTACGGACGATCTATCCACAATATTTGTCAACTTTTCAAGATACATAAAAACACTGGTGCAAATTTAGTAACATTCACATTGACACTATTGTTTGAAGGTAGTGCAACTACCTAACTTCATATCTACCTACCCGCCCCTCACACACAAGCATGCATGTATACATAGATATATACGTAGGCACGCATGCACGCACGCACACGCACACACACACACACACACTTACATACATACATACATACATACATACATACATACATACATACATACGTATGCATAATTACTACTAAAGTGCCGCTCAGAATGGCCACTGTAATCTTGTCTTGCAATCAACTGCTACAACAACGCGGCTTCGTCATAATGCATGGTCGCATTACAGTTTAAGTGCAATCTGGCATCATACCATGTAGACCACTATATCGAATATGTGAAACTAATGCTATTATTAGGAATATGTCATCGTCAATAATTGTCATACATGTAATAAAACTACACATTTAAATCGGAAGGGGTAATATTTCATCAGTTCCTACCTGTAAATAGAGGTATGCTTACCACTGAAGTATTTCTCAATGATCTTTAAAGCCTCAGCCAACACATGTTGCTTAGCATTCAGGCTTTACATCGAATATCGTCCCTGTAACACAATAGAGTAACGTATTGTTCGTGTGCTTTTCACTGCGCAATAACGGGGCGCTGGGTCGGAATTTATCGCCAGCTCACTATGCAGCTCCACGACCACACGTGAAAATTGTGCACACTCGGTAGCGTTAGGGTTTATTTGATAGGATGTGTTAAGTAAGGAGATGTTTGATGAAACGTATCATCAAAAGTTATGATGGATTATAATTATCATTTTGAGAGTCATCAAACTGTATTCTGGCCAGATGTGTCAAAGATTGAATGTCAGAAAGGTCAGATGTGTCAAGGAGTATATGATCACAACTTCGTGTGCCTTTCAGCATATTCTATATCGGAATATCAACCCGAGATATCTTTCTTCTTTGAAAGGGACTTTATGCAGTAAAGATCTCAACTTCACTGTTAAGACCGAAACTGTAAGTTTGTTTAAAAGTGAAGTTAAAAAAACACTGTTGATTACAAAACTCAATCTAAATTTAGCTGTCGGTAGAGGTGTTATCAACCATTACCTGTTCCCGGAATACCTGTGTGAAGTACAGATGATATGGGTATGTTTGTCATCACCTAGTTTGATTACAAACTAGTGGATTATATTTAAAAGAAATTTGAGAGTGGTTATTTTCTGACATTCTATCATTCCCTGTGACAAACTCGACTACAGTTTGTTCACATTTTAACCAACATTATACAGTCCAAGTTTATCTCCATTCACATCAACTCTCTTTATTATTTAACTCTTTTGTTGTTGGTCTTTTATTATTTATAACAATGGCTCATCGGTTTTTGCCATGTAAAGAAGTATCGGCTGTAATTTGCACTCTAGAAAGATTGATTAAACTGACATCTCAGTTACTTTGTAAATATACAATACCTGACCATTTGGTTTGGTTTGGATGTTGTTTAATGCTGCACTCAGCAACATTCCAGCTTTATGGCGGAGGTCTGTAAATAATCGATTCTGGACCAGACAATCCATGAGCATCGATTTACGCAATTGGCAATACATAATAACAACAATCATACTTTGTAGTTGTAGTTCCCAAGGGCACATAATCATTTTGAGGAATGGAGTTGCGTCGCTTTATTCCTGTATATTTCTTTGCATTAAAACTGCATTTCGGTATATACTGAGAACATATAGATATTTTTGTATTAAATATGGTTGTCAGAACATGCTTGTCTTATTCACTTATTCCTTTGTTCATTGACGTAATCTTCCATCAACATCAACTTGCTACAGCGACATCCTCATGGAAGATACCATGTGCAACACACTACATATACTCATGGAAACGAATAAAGGAACTCATGAAAGTACAAATGTTCCTTTATTCTTTTTCTAGGTTTCTTTGCATGCTTTGTTTGGCAATGTGAGTGAAATTCTGGGAATAAATAAATGAACACTTGAACTTACATGTGTTCCCTTATTTCATGTGTGAGTTATACATTAATATATGAACACAAGCCTAATGAACCAACAATTCTGGCAATGGTAAAGCAAGTATCAATCCTTCATGTTGTCAGAGAAGTATTCAATTCATGATCTTCTCTGTGGACCTACTCTAACTTGATGCAATGGCACTTGATGCACCTGTATATCCTACGTTACATGTTACTTGTCGATACCGATCTTGGTGTCGACATTCTCTCCTAGATTTCCGTAATGGAATGGTATACCTGTCAGCTAAAGAATCTATGTTTAAAATTATGCTTAGAAATTATGGATGGGAAGGGGAGGGGGGTCACTGATTTTGTACATGACATGCAGGGGAGGGGGTGGCACTTACTTTGTGCATAAATTCTAAGGGGGTCATTCACATTGCTCATGCTTCTCCATAAAAATCGTCATCACCCCCTAGCCATAAATTAAGAACGGTCCCTTAAGCTGACGTAATTATCCTGGTGACGGTCACGTGACTACCCCAATCAACTAGGGTTAATAAAAATACCTGAATCTAGATTGCTGAATGTGACTATTACTATTTCACAAGCACGCACGCACGCATAAACATACTTACATACACACACATACATGCATGCATGCATATGTACATGCATACATGCATACATACATACATACATATATACATACATACATTATGTCTACACTACTCTGCAGCCTTACTGACATTGCTATTTTTAGATTCCAATGTAACTGCAGCTTATCGTTAACATCTTTGCTGCGCCGAGAATTTCCGAGAAGGTGCTAGTTTCTGAGAATTACATGACCCAGTTATTTCAGCGTTACACTATCAACTGCTGTACTCTATGTAACGAACATAGTCGTAATTGATGAACAGTTTTACTTTAAATACATGGAGGAATCACAGTCGCAGTCTAAATATTATGTAATGATTTTGTAGTTTGGAGTTCTGGGAATGATAACAGCAGACCGATATCAGCATACTCCTACTCAGGATAAGTATTCGTTAAACATCAAAGTAAGTCAAAGGGATTAAGTACACCTCTAACGAAGACTCACCTGGAGACGTGACAATTGTTCCAGTTTCTTGTACAGGTATGGATACTTTATACAACCAGAGGTGTCATTCACGGGCGGAAAGTGCGACGTTATACTTCAGTGTGTTGTAGGTATAGTTGGAACTATTTTTGTCCCATTTCCGAGGAATTGCGTAATCAACTTTGTAAGAGGTACTCCGAGCTATAACTGGCAACGGAGGCTGAGTAATGACTGTGTAGTATTTGTGTGTATGTATAAACTTTTCAGACTGTTCAAGAGAAGAATTATTTAATGGAAACTAAATGGATAATCAAAGGATATATTACATCTACGTAAGAGTTAAATACAACAGGGACATCAGGATGTTATTTACCCTTTTCTTTTATCTTAAACCTTTCCTCAGGCCCATTTGTTATATATTGGATTATATGCATCTGTGGGAAATAAGCAACCCTAGGTTCCTCGAATACAAATAACATCGATTATGTCTTTCTTTATATCTGTACTATGTAGGTGGTATTACTCAGTTTTCATGGGGAAGTCACGCTTTCCGTGTACGGGATTCCCTAACGAGACTGGGTGACGAACCCAAATCAGGTAATAAAATGATGTACCAGGATAACTGTGGTCTAAACAGCAATTGTGTCTTAATCGTTTGATTGGAGAAGATATTCACGGTGAATAACCCACACGTAACAATACGTCTCGGTGTTCATTTCTAAATGATGAAAATAGATGGACATTCATAATTTCAAATTTCAGCGGTAAAATACATTAAAACATTTTATAAATAGTATATACATTCCTTTACATGAAAAGTATACCCATGTTCAAAATTTTTAGATTTTTCACAATAGGAATCAAATATTGAATTTCTTGTTTCACGAGGAATGTCACCCTTGTTCTTTCGTATGTGTCTACAATCTCATTATTCCACTTATAGAGGTAAGACATATAAAAAGTTTATTCAGTACAATACAACAGCGCCGCGCAGTCAAAGCGGCCATGAATAACAACAATGAAGTGTGTTGCTTTACTGATCTCCGTGAAGAAAATAACTTGGTAACTTAAATCGTGCAATATGTCTGAACATGATAAGGTGGTTGGTGAGTTGTTTAACTCAGCAATATTACAACTATATGGCGACGGTCTAAATAATCGTGTCCGGACCAGCAAAAATTCTCCCACTACCCTCATTACATAAAATACACATAGTCTATGTAATGAGTGTGGCGGGAACATTTTCTAAAAATCCATTTCTTCACCGATTTCGTTCAAATTTAAAATATAAGTTACTCATAACATATAACAAATATACGGTTGCAAAAAAATCTAGATTTTTATTTTTAAAAATTATTGTCCAAACAGTTATTCGAACCCCTGTGAGAACGACAATATATAAACAATGTTTTATAAGTTGGGGGACAATTCCCGACCCAACCAATTCTCTATGGTGAAAGTTCATGCCCACTATTACATAACGTACTTACATCCTAAAGTGTGCAAAATGTATGACATTTCAGCAAAGAGCTTGGTCAGACAAAGATATTGGTTTCATACAACTTAATTCATATACAACTTGCAATTTACAATCGCTGTAAATTTCCAATCACTGGACATATCAGTTGTATATATCATTATTCATGACAGCAATAGTGTTTGTAAAGATATGACTAATAATTACTATTTCTATGAAAGAATAGCACTTTGCATTTTATTTATTTCAGTGTTAAATATTCATACATATTCCACACAGTAGGAATATTCATGGAAAGACGGTTTTTTATTTACTGCTTGTGCAACTCCATTTGATCTTTTATGTCAGTGAAATCCTATTCTGAAATACGAAATTAACTGACTGTGCATGTATACAATCTGCAAAATATCCAGCAACCATATGATGATAAGATCACAACCAGATTACTTGCACAAGCATAGGTCTTTTTATAATATGTTTAGTTCCGGTTGGAAACTTTTAGAATTGTACGGTAACTGGAAATGTATGCTATTCCAAGAAAGAAACGCATAATCCAGAAATCTGTTGCGAAAAAATGTATTTTTCAAACATGTGTAACTCATCCACAAATAGAGTTTAGTACCTGAATTTTTATATCAGTTTAGAAGAAGGAAAGGTTTGTACAACGTAATGGATAATTTCAGTTAACGGAGACGTTGGGCGCGATGGCGACGACGTAGCACGGTCCCGACGTCGGGTCTCTGGCTCTCGGTCCAGTCTCTCTCAACCTGTTCCGTACCGTTTGACCGGATATCCTTCGAAGTCCAGGCACTCTGGCTGCTGTGCTCTCACCCGTGGCAGTACGGTCACGCAAATGTAGTACCCGGATGTACCGATCTTGGGCTGCAGTGGTGACTCGTGGTCTGCCTATACGGGGACGGTCATTTGTAACCAGCTGCAAGCCGTGATATCGTGCTCAGGCTAACATTCAGACGCCTGGCAACGGAAGATTGATAATCTCCAGCGTGCATTCTTTCAATGGCGATGTTCCGTGTCGCAGCGTCAAGACGTGACGTAGTGATTTGACCTTGAAACTCCTTCAAAACGAATGCCTGTCAAGTCGATTTTTTACTTGTACAATTGTGTAAAATCATGTTATCAACACTTTTGTTACATATTTTGACGATTGTTTGAACACAATTAATAGGGTATTAATAGATTTTTAAAAAAGTACAAAATTCATATGCGTTTCTTTTTTGGACAGTATGTATCCAAATGTAACAAACATATAACATGTAAAAAGTGTGCATAATCTTCACTCCTAATTCAGCCAACGTCAGAATCACATGCCTCTATCCCAATCCCCATCCTATCCCGGTAAACCCCTAAACACCAATCCCTGTGACCCTGAACCCAAAACAACATAAGCTTACATATCCATGCACACGTACATCCAGTCGAGACGTTTACATGGTTTGATGGCTGAAGACATGATACCGTTATCCCTTTTCTCCAGACAAAATGAGTCGGGATCGGCACCGTGGAGTTTTACCAACAACATGTTGCTTTGCTGTGTACATGTTTCTCCTGATACACCACGGTAAGACACACCGTCTATATAGTTGAAGAAATCTTCGTGAATGTATCTTTTACTATTATCTCTACAATACCATATGTGGTACTCGATCCATTGTTTCTACACTTTTCCTTTCCTTAAACATATGTCAATGAAAAAGTCACTGTAAGTACTTCTTCAATTATCAATTGTTAGTTCAATTGTTTCTTTCACGCATTTCCCATGTGCAAAACTATGATAACCGCTTTCATGTCTATACATTGACATTTCAAACCAAGGCTCACACTATCTGAAGTTGTATCTGTGTATTGATTAGGGCCACCTTCACTTCTGTCTGCATACTTTAGTCTTTCACAAAATATTATTTTACCAGTAGGAAGTACATTATTTATAATTAAACACAATTCAAAAGGAAAAGACCAATGGCATTGATCCTGTTGTATTGTGATGTAGCTGACCTGTCATGATGAAGGGGAGGTGGGGTAGCCGAGTGGTTAAAGCGGTAGCTCGTCACGCCGAAGACCCGGGTTCGATTCTCTACGTGGGTACAATGTGTGAAGCCCATTCTGGTGTCCCCCGCCTTGATATTGCTGGAATATTGCTAAAAGCGGCGTATGACCCAACTAGCTCACTCACTCTTATGTTGAAGGTGACAGTACAACTCCACGACACTTCAACAAGACAGGCTGTGTCAGCGGCTTCTACGGGTCTGACTGTAGACGGAGCTGCCGAGGAAACTGTTTGAATGGACGGTGTGCCTTACTGGCCAATGGTCGATCCGTCAACTGTACGGAGGGGTGTGTGTTGGGGTGGAGGGGGTTAACGTGTAGTACTAGGTGTAAGCGTCCGTGTCTGGAGTGTGACAGATACACGGGAGATTGTGTGGGACAATGCAGGGATGGTTTCTGTGGAGCTGGGTGTTTACAGCGATGTCCATATCAATTTTCGACGTGTGACAAAAGTTGTGTAACGCCGAGGAAACCGAAAATGACTGATGCATTGAGGGAGACACATGGTAGTAACAAAGAAGGTAAGGAGTTTACAAGAACACTTACGAAACGAACCGTATGTATGTGTGTGTTATCTGTAGTTTCATGTCCCATAATTAAATATGTAGTTCCATAATCCGCAATGCCGTTCTTCGATGATTACATTCGAAATGAACTAGTGCAGAAAAGAAAGTAAACACCTTGTTTGACCAAACTTGAAAAAGAACAAAAAACATATATAAATGAACATCTGTAAAATTTCAATAGAGTATTCAATTCTACAGCAAATGTACACAATTTCATTTCATAAAGTCGAAAGTACCATTTGACTCACGACGTCGTCATATGAGCGAAATATTCTCAAGTACGACGTTAAACCCAATTTCACCTCACCTCACCATTTGACTCATCGAAAGAAACGGTATCATAGATGAACTTTTACACAAATCAACAAGGCGTTTTTTCTGCAAAATGTCATCAAGTGTTGATTCATTAGTGAGTGTGACCCCGCTGGCTCCACTACACGCCAGGATACGTCGACACATTGATGATGTAAGACGACGAATGACGTTAGGCGTGATCCGTTGCCATTCCTGTAGGAGACATTGTTCCAGTTGTTAAGCGGTGACAGGTGTCTGGTAGTCTTCAGGTTGGTCGATCCAGATAGTCCCATCAGTGTTTTATGAGTTTCATGTCGGGAGAACATGCTGACCAACTATGTTAGCGTTATGCAGAAAGTCGTTTGTCAGTTATGCTGCATGAGGCCTTGCGTTATCGTGTTGGTAGATAAACGGATAAATTGCAACACAACTGGTCGCAAACTTCATCCCTGTATCTTCGAGGATTCAGGTTGCCAAGAATAATCACAAGTCTCGTTTTGAGATTGCCGTAGATCCCTCCCCACATCATCACAACCGGCTCCAAACGGTCGGACTTGCTGAACGGTGAACATCACACGTCGTAAATCACGCATCAGCCAACATCGAACTCGCCAGGCCCATGTCAATGGACGACGTCGGTTTTGAAGAGTCAGATGCACTCCGCAGTAGTGTCGACGTATTCGAAAATCATGTTCTCTTAGTCGCCGGTACGGTTTCTAGTGCCGTCGATGCCGTTGACGTCACCATTACAAAACGATTTCTCAGATGAATTGTCCGTTTGTGACGATCATGACCGGGGCGTTGTCACACGTGGTCGACCACACCTTGGCCTGTCTGACGTATTGCCTGTACGTCTTAGTTGTTGCATCAGTCCGATGACAGTTGCTCGGGTGCAGCCACAGGTTCTCGCAATGACGGTATGGTTAGCTCCTTGATGGGCCATTCCGACAACAACTCTCTCTCTCTCTTACAATTTGCCTCAAACGTGGCACATTTTTGTGTTCTTTTTACTACTGTATTGCTCACGTGTCGCGTAGGCTTTTTTATACCGTCAGTATGCACGTGCACTTCGTGTTACATGTATGGTTTATCATTTTTATTTTAATTTTTGTGAATCTTTATGTAATAATTTGTGGTGTATGGTTTCTTTTGAGCACTAGTTTATATTGAGCCCGAACATCCTAAACAAATCTCCCTTTCTGAGAATATAAAGAAATATACAACAGTCTGAGATAATGTCATCTTTCAACAGGTTTGGACGTGAATCCTTGCACGGAGAAATTTGGCAACAATTGCTATAACTGCAATCAGTGCTCTGAATGCCTGACGGGGTATTATGGAAGCAAATGTGAAGAGAAGTGCACTGAAAACTGCCAGTTTGACTGTGATATCCAAACGGGTCTCTGCAGAGCATGTAAAGATGGCTTCTACGGTGACAACTGTTCAGTTCCGTGTTCGACGACATGTTATAGGAAACCTTGTAATATATCAACTGGGGCTTGTGATGATGGCTGCGGAAAAGGATCTTGTTCTCCTAACACTGGATGTGACAAAACTTGCAATGCCAATTGTCCAAACAATTGTCACTTTGAAACATGCTCGTGCTTACCGTCATCTTCACCCGAGACTACGTCCGCAACACCCAGTTCCCCTAAGCAAGGTTGGTTTGTTTGTTTGTTGTTTAACGCCCCACTCAGCAATATTATAGCTACATGTATATGGCGGCGGTTTGTAAATAAGCGAGTCTGATCAATCTAGTGATCAATAACATTATCATCGATCTACATATTTGGGATACGATGACATATGTCAACCAAGTCAGCGAGCCTGACCACCCGATCCCGTTTGTCACCATTTCCGACAAGCATAGGTTACTGAAAATCAATTCTAACTCAGATCTTCATGCGTCCATAAGCAAGGACAAAGTCAGGTTAAATATAAGTGTTTAGACGACTGAAGGAAGCACATGTATAGCACATTACGTGCATATAGGTGAGTGTAGATATTTAAGTACTCTATATGACGCTTCTACACATTTCAGTTTGGCCAATTGATAATGTTGTGTCACTAAAACAATAAATTGATTTGTCGTATGATATTTTTAACATTGTTACCATATCATAGTTTCAACATTCTCCTCATTAAATAAAAATGGATGTAAGTTTTTGGTAAAACGGGTATGTTGTGTCTTATATATGATACGTATCTACTATGGACACAAACTCTAGCGGGTTCAGCTTAATGAAAGAAAAATATACTGATAAGGACACGTTTTACCAAGAGGATATGCTTAATTTTTTAAATGAGGAAAACATTTCCAAACCATTATGAAAGTTATCTGATGTTTGTCCATATGGATAAAAATTGGGCTCCTTGTTCATATTAACAATGGTATGTTTGACAACATGAAATATAAAGGCAAGACACATTATGCATAATGAGTCACAACGGTGGAAGTCAGAAAACGCGTTCTTAAAACAATATTGGAGGTCTCGGAACAGTTCTTATAACATGAGAAAATCTATGACCCGAACGCATTTTCCAATAACAAAACAGAATGCGTCAGAAGTCCAAAAGTTGTAAGTGTCCGAAGCAAACCCGAATTTATTTATTCAGTTCAGAGTCTGTAAATCATCGTGTCTGGTTGCTTTACAGGCCAGTTTTGTTTATATTTATGAGCACATCGTTCCTGATGTTTGCTGTTTTATTTAATGAATATTATGTTAGATTTTAGATATGCGAATATTCTATCAACTTTGCCTTTGAGTAACAATGATACATTTACCATTGTCTCTATTCAGGTGGCATATTGGCAGTATACTGGATCTGCTTCATTGTAAACACGATGCACCTGGTCATCGTCATCATCTTCATCGTATACGGCTACGAAAAGAAATGGTGGACTTCACTAAACTGTTTCTGGTGAGTTTTTTTAATAAATAAACGTTTTTTAAACGAAATCGGATAAAGATGGGATGCATTACAGACTGGAGGAAAGGACCCTGGCTATGACGAAGTTGGTCTTGTAGTCTCAATACTGACTGACTGACTGAGTTTAGTTTTACGCCGCTTTTAGCAATATTCCAGCAATATCACGGCGGGGGACACCAGAAATGGGCTTAACACATTGTGCCCATAGTCTCAATACTCTGTTGTCTGTTTTATGACATGTTCTCTTATGGCTTGGTGCCGCTTGAGCATCGCAAGCATGGTCCTGTGCCCTATTTCAGTTCTGCGATGTGGCAAGGATAACCTCAGATTTGTAGTGGATTTTTTCCTCTATATTCTTGGACCTTGGTACTACTGTTTCATGACTCTCCAAAATATAAGTTACTTAACAAACTATCATCACTTTTTGTTGTGATTTTCCCTGTGAAGTTTTATGAGGGTAAAGTAATAGTAAACTGATGCAGTAACAGCCCCAAGGGCGGGAAAGTAACTTTTTTAATTTTGGAGACAAACGTTATTGAAACATTTTTCCAGAGTTGGTCTGGTGTTTTCATTACATTCAGTGTTGAAAGGAATGTTTCATCATGAACCGATTTGGAGTTAGATTGTGTTTCATCGGTATAATTTTGACCGAAACAATTTATACAGAATGCTCACCAAAATCTGTTGTTGTTGTTTTTTTTGGGGGTAAGTGGAGAATGAAACAGTTTATGAAAAAGTTGTTGACAATATGTCAGTGAATGAAACATAACATGAGAAAGCTTAATGAACATGCTACCCACCGTAATCATTGTCACAACCTTCTGAGGTGATAGTCCAGAATACTAGCTATATCCTACAGACACATGGAAGTGTTATCTTTTGTCATGTGCGTCATCAAGGGGCAAAGTCTACTGTCACTTTAGCTATCATGACTGTCCCACTCCACTCGTGGGTGTTTTCTACCCTAACGCCCTACTTCACTTTCTAATAACTGGCTGTCTAACAACTATCCGTCAAGAAAAGGGAGATAACCGATGCATGACACCGGTGCATGACATCCCATTTGCATAGATCGAAGCACATTGCTGAGTTGCGACAAACAGTATATTCTAAATAATATTAAAATTTGGTAGAATCCTGTTATAGTCTAAGACATAGAGTTTATACACATTTGCCACATGCGGTATTTCATTTCAGTCAAAAAAAGCCAGGGAGCGAATCAAGTGAACCAGATCAAGGTAAGGATATGTTTTTCTCTTTGATTTCCGTTGTATGTGTCTGCTCACTGAAGCAAATATTAATTTCTTTTTACGCCTTGAAAACAAAAGGCTCACAAGACTTAAAAATAAAAGAATTCTTTAAATGGCATAAATTTGCCAATGTATGACCATCGAGGTATTTGTATTGGTTCGATAGCTCGATCAGTGCTAATATACATGTACCTACCTACCTGCTATGTAGTTACCCGTATAAATTGACTGCTTTAAGTACTGTTGAGTAATCAAATTTCAATTTGGCATCTCCGTTACACATTAACGATGTCAGTATTTTTTTCTCATGCATATTTATGTATTTTCAGCAGGAAATCTCATGCAAATGTCCGGCAAATGCAAGGGGACACCGGATCAGGTAATATCGGTGCACATTGTTTGTGATAGTTCTATTTTACTTTCTTAAGCGACGATTGACATTTTCCAGGAACCAAATATGGTGCATATTGAACCTACACTGATTGGTCAGTCCTAAAGGTTAGCTGACGCGACCTTCTACTAGGTTTTGTTAGACTATGTATAGCAGTGTAACGAATAATGCTGAGCTTAAGTTTACTTAGACTGAGAACCGACACATCACATTCTAAGGTATAGATAGAAATGACAAAAAAATATAATATGTGATTATAAGATGTCGATATCAACGCTGAAACTACTCCCACGCATATGACCACAGGTACCATCAAATTTGTCAAGTTGTATTCTCGAACACTTGACCATCTCACTCACTATCGCCCCAAACTGATGAGTAAAGCAGGCGTCGCTAAAAGCATTCGCCTGGACGCTTGTGGGTTGAGTTGAGTTGAGTTGGGTTTTGCGTCACATCGGCATTATTCCAGCAATATAGTGACGAGAACAAGTTACTATATTGCTGGAATAATGCCGATGTGACGCAAAACCCAACTCAATTCAACTCAACCCATAAGCGTCCAGGCGAATGCTTTTAGCGACGCCTGCTTTACTCATCAGTTTGGGGCGATAGTGAGTGAGATGGTCAAGTGTTGGAGACCCTTGCACGATCATCAGAGGCGTCCATTTAAAACCAGGGCCCAGAATACTGTCCCAGTCTATGAAGGTCACCTGGAAACAGAATTGGCCGTATCGCTGGACGCAGTGGACGGATGTTATGTTTCAATACCTGGTTAGGGCGGTGGGATTGCCTAGTGGTTGCTCGTCACGCCGAAGATCCGGTTTCGATTCCCAACATTGTTATAATATTTGAAACACATTTCTGGTGTCCCCCGCCGTGAATTGCTGTTATATTGCTAAAAGCGGTGTAAAACTCAACTCACTCACTTACTCCAATATCTGGTTGTGTACGGTTCCGCCATTCATGCCCCATAGCCAGGAATCCTGTGAGGTGTTGAATATAATTGTCTTGTAGGAGTGACGTCGTAAGTGACAGACAGTCCCATGGCATGTCATGTGTTCTGTTCTGCTGCAGGTACCACATCCAAAGAGAACATAATAATTACCATTGTTCCTATTTGAGCAGTGGAGGTTTGTGGCATAAAGCCGTCAAAACTAATGTGTCTATAAGCACCTGAAAGCTAAACAGTAATTGTGTACATTTCACATTTCACAAGCTACAGACAATATGTACGTGCAGGTTGTAAATTACGACCTTGAAGTAGTGGAGATGTCTTGATGAATGTGTATTTTAATTTCATAAAATGTTTCTATTTAATTCTGTATAAGCTAGGTTACATGTTTTGTTGGTACACATGCACACTGCTGTATTACATTTTTGTCATGTATTTTGTGTAAGACGTTGTTACGTGTATATCCGAACCAATTCACTATTGTACATTTTATCGAGGACAACGACGAGTTAGGATTACAAATTACATGAGTTTGCAGTTATCGGATATTTAACATTCCGACTTATTGCATTCATTTCAGACTCCCGGGGACAGTGTGACAGAAGATGAGGCGAACACAGTTTCAAGAACCTCAAAGAAAAGCTGTTGCAACCCTGTACAATCCATAGGACGAAAAGCAAGAGGATTAGCATTAGCATTAGTATGTGGCTATGTCTTGATGAATATTATTGTGTGTGTAATACTTTATTACAACATATAAGGCAATTCATATGTATCAATATGTATGCACTCTTGTAGTTTTGTAAAATAAGAATGATTGAACCCCTCTCTTCATCCCCACGATAGGATGTTAGTGAACAATTTCGACTACATAAGGAACGCGGGGCGCGGTGGGTGATCCAGCGATGTTCAGGTGTCGGGATCGAGCCCACCTGTGACCGGGTGTAAAAACCTTGGAGTCAACTTTATGTGCAGACTCTTTCAGTGTTGTCACAACCCCTAGTATACAGTACACAACCCTGTGCAGTTGAAAGAACCTACGAATCCGTTGATATATGACCAGATGGTGGCCACATGAATACGTGCAAACACCTAGTTCCGGGTATAGCAACGTGCAGTGAACTTGGATAAAGTACTGTGACTATGTGTCCTAGTCCACCAAGCTGTGAATGGGTACCTCGTTAGGATGAGAAAGCCACAATAACTCGGTGCGCTTAGTGACAGCCTCAGAAGAATTCCTGCCAACAATCCTGATCTTGTCCTTTTTGATAAACCCAATGAATTTATTTATATCATTGAATTTTCTGTCCCTTCTGACAGCAATGTGGTTGACAAGATTCAGGAAAAGCATGATAAATCTTTTGACAAGATGAACGATAGAGACTTTCAAGTGCCTAACAGACAGTGGATCTCCAACAATGTGTTCCTTTTGCGGGGAACAGCATTTTTTGAGCTCTAGTAGAAAACTGAGAAATAAGCCAAACGCTTAAAAGCTTGACTTTTTCAAATCAAAATCTGTGTGCTTTGGATGTTTATCTCCAGGGCATTTGAGTAAACATTGTAACAACAGACTGAAATGCAATGTGAGTGAACGCATGTAAGCAGCAATTTTATGACAAAGACGGCGTTGCATTCAAGGTTAATGCTAAAGACACTAAAACAGATGTGAAGGTTGCTTGTAATAACTGTGTGAACATGTGTGAAGGTGTAGCATATGGTTGTGGTAGTGGAGCAAGTGTCTCTTTGCCTATTGTGCCTGTCAGGGTGATGCTGGACAATAGTGATAGGTGTTATGAAGCCCCATGCGTTCCTTGATTATGGAAGCTCTGCTTTATTTTGTACAGAAGGTCTGATGATAGATTTAGGTGTAGAGAGTAAGAACATTCAGATTATGTTGCTGACTATGAGTCAGAAAAGTTAAGTTCAATGATAAACAGTGACATGGTTGGTAGTGACAGATTTGAAAGGTGAAAACTGTGTAAAGTTATTCAGAAGGTGATTCCAGTCAACAGAAAAGATGCATTTGATTGTAAAGCTTTGGGTAAGTGGTCTTGGAGGAAGTTAAATTGCCACAGATTGATGCTTAAGTACAGTTGTTGATAGGAAGTAATGTTCCCGTTGCTCTAGAACCATGGCAGATCATAAACTCTCAGCAAGGTGGACCTCATGCAGCACTGACTCTTTTGGGGTGGATTGTCAGTGGTGAATGTGACAATATTGATGAGAACTGACAAGAGTATCAGTGGACAGACTTAGTTTATTGGAAAATTCAGAAAACCAGCTAGTCAGCCAGAACAACCAAGACTTCAGTGAAAGACTTATAGATGACAAGCCAGAGATGTCTAAGAATGACAAGCTGTTTATGGACATTATGAACTCTGATGAGCTGGTTTGTGGACATTATGAAATCCCTTTGCCATATAAGCAGTCATCTGAAATTTTACCTAGCAACAGGCCATAAGCAAAATGCAGGGCTGAGCAATTAAAAAGAAGTTTCAGCAAAGTGAATCTTTTCACAAGGACTATAAAGCATTCATCAATGATTTATTGAAGAAGGGCTATGCAAAGAATGTATTGACAGACGACAGCCATCGTACAGAGAAGACATGGTTGATGCAGAGACTTTAATTATTCAGTTTTGTACAGAGACTTACATTTGCTCATGTAATTTACACACTTGAGAATTTCAAGGCTGGACTTTGTAAGGCAAGTAAGCTGTACGAACTTGATCCCAATTTAGAAGTCTTAGATAATCTGATGAAGGGTCGTGGACGGCTTGACAAAGCCTGTATGTCTGAACATACCAAACATCCAGTGATACTGCCTAAGGACAGCAATATTTCAGAGATGATAGTTAGGAATATCCAAGAATCTTCAGGACATGTTGGCAGAAATCATGAATTGTACAAGTTACTTAGTAAGTCCTGGATTCTTAGAGCTACCACTTTAAACAGGAGAGTGATTCACAGATGTGTTATATGTGGGAGACATCATGTAGCTAGTGTTCTAGAACAAAATATATTTACATAGCGTCATACTGTCCCGGCTGATCTTCCCAGAGATCATGTTACCCCAAATGATCCTCCATTCGCGTTTGTATGAGCAGATTATTTTGGTCCTTTTGAAGTTAAGCGTGGTCGTGCCTTGGTCAAAAGGTGTGGAGTAATTTTCACCTGTTTGACTACACGTGCAGTTCATATTGAGGTTGCGCACTCACTTGATACAGGAGTTCATGTCAACGCCTTGAGAAGATTTGTAGCAAGAAGGGGTCAGGTTCAACAAATAAGATCAGATAATGGTACCAATCTGAAAGGCCACAGAGAGAGAACTTCGGGAGGCAATCAAGCATTTTAATCAGTCTACCATTAAGATGAGTATGATACAGAGAAATGCGGAGTGGATATTGAGTCCCCCTACTGGATCAAACCATGGCGGAATCTGGGAACGACAGATACGTAGTGCATGGAAGATACTTTTTTCCGTTCCCAATGATCAGCCCGGAGATGGTGAAGGATTACACACAGTACTGTGTGAAGTGGAAGTCATAATTAACAGTAGATCAATTTTAACTGTTTCTGATGATCCAAGTGATTTAGATGCCTTGACACCAAATCACCTGCTTTTGATGAAAGGCAAACCAAACCTACCTCCTGTATTTTGAGAGACCCTATCCACATCGTCGATGCAGACAGATCCAATACTTTGCAGATCTCTTCGAGAGTATCTTACGTCATTGCAGATGGTCGCAGTTCCGTCACAATATTAATGTGGGAAATGTAGTTCTCATTGTTGATGAAACAGCACCTAGAAATTCATGGCTTATGGATTTCTCACGGATTGAGAAAGTTTATCCTGACCACAAAGGGTTTGTTCACAGTGTTGAAGTCAGAACAAAGTCAGGTGTTTTGAACAGACCAATTACAAAGTTGCGTTTATTTCTTGAAAGTGAATGTTCACAGGATCAGTTTTCAATTCTACTGCTTAGCACTACAGATGTGTAGAGAAGTGTACATGTTGTTCATTTAGTTATCCAGTGGGTATTTTGGGTTTATTATGCAGATATATTGTGTGTATGATTGTGTGTATGGAAGCAGTTCACATCTCATCTTCACATTTGATGCAGTTAAAAAGCTATGTTCAGTTTATGTAAAACTGAATATGTTTCATATTCTTTAACGCAGAGTATAGTATTGTAATTGTAAATTGTAACAATTAAGGTACCGGAATGTTGCGGTCAAATGCTTTAGTTATATTTCTATTTAGATCAAGGGGAGATAACCTGGAGAGAGAGATTTTTCTCAGTGTTGATCACTTGGATTGCCTGGTCCAGACTCGCTTTGTTTACAAACAACATCATGCAGCTGTAATACCACTGAAACAAATATATACTGATGATATAGTCACACTTGTACAAACGACTGCTGTTAGCAGAGATTGCTTATGGATGTGGAAGGATTTTGTCGGTTCTATTAAGTAAACCCACTTTACATCTTCCTCTGCTTTTGCCCATTTGGATATGCATCGCTAGTATCCATAATTATTTTTAAGTTGTAATCGCCATTGGTAGGAGGTTGCTCACGATATTTGGGCCATGCTTGATTTCAAAAAGGTGTTCATTGTCAACATTGGAGAAGCCACATGTCATTATACGACCTACGATTGGTTGCAGTGCAATGAGTGTCATGAAGTGGAATTGACATAGTAACCTGACAAGTCCTCCCTCTGATACACGTTCCCATAACTGAACACCCTCAATGAAATGTGTTTGTATGAGAAAAGGAAATTGTTGGTGGTCAGCTTGTGAGCTTGGACAGTATGACGCTATGTAAACTATTCGTAGATGGTACACCACAATAAAGACTTACATAACAGTTGTTTTTTTTGCCTTAACAGATAAACGTCTACCCAATGTCTCAGTAAATAATTCGAATTATGAGTTGAAAGAATCATTTGAACAAAAGTTGCGGAGACAAATTTTCATTATATCAGCACTTCTCCACTACCTTACTCACGTTCCTATTTTTAGATTCAAGGATCACTGCAACGTATCGTAAACGCCTTTGTTCTGTTGAGCATTTCCGAGAAGAGGCTTGTTGCTGAGAATTGCATGACCAACCTATTGAAGACTATGTTTATGCTAACTGTTGAGTGAGTGAGTGAGTTTACTTTTACGCCGCTTTTAGTCATTCCAGCAATATCACGGCGGGGGACACCAGAAATGGCCTTCACACATTGTACCCATTAGGGGAATCGAACCCAGGTCTTTGGCAAGACGAGCGGAAAATGAGGTGATAGGACGGCATTCAATTGAAATTAACTGTTATGTGAAGATCATAAAGTTTTGGATAAGGCTATTGTATCAAGAATATCTATAAGACTTTGTTATTCTTATGAAAGATTAATCTTACCAGTTGTCACTAGCAAATCAGGGATTGAGTTGTTGGGCACTAAAGGTAAAAACATAATCAAGTGTGGAGAAATCAGGATGTTGGTATTATAAATCGGGTCATATCATCTTTCAAGCAGAGGTGTATAGATATTGATAAACAACGCTGGTTTGAAGGTGTCCATAAGTATAATACATTAACTTTGGACCGTTCTGTAAAACACGAAGCAAACTTTGAAGTTCATCTGTCGTTGAAACCTATGAAAGTTTACGTATTGCCCTTTCATCTCTCCTGCTGCTCTCGTCATAAGCTATTAATCGAAGAAGGTAGGAAAATAGGTTTAAATAGACAGGTTATGTCCTTTGTGTGTAGTTAGGAACATCAGAACATCACTTCTGTGCAGTATGTCAATTTTATGATGGTCTTAGACGCTGTATCATTCCTGCCTATTACTAAAAATATACATTTCCTTCACAAATAAGATTTCAACAATTGATTGCGTCTAAAACTTCCCATGTATTATCACTGCTTGGAAAGTAAGTATTCTTAAGGTTTAAATTACGATCACGTTTTATAATATATATTTCAGGCGCTTCATTATGTATACGCTGCATCTTGTATGTGTATAATGGGCCAGTGGTCCCCCATATTGTCAATAAACTCATCTCTATAATTATTACTTTTTGTGTATGTACTTTGTGTAATAGGCTCACTTGCCTATCCCTTTTCCATGAGACGTTGCTCACAGGGTGGAAGGGCTGTCCACGCGAAATGTGGAGTTGCCCCAAAAGCAACTCCATTTCCTCGCTGGACAGCGAAAGACATGTGGCGCAAGCGTAATGGTAAGTTTTCCCTCGCATTTTCATTATTTTACAAGTATATCAGGTTTTACCATTTGGCAGAGGGATCTAGAAATTTACAGATCTTTCCATAATAGCTTGACACCCTCTCTATTTATTGCAAGTGTGCGTTAAGCGAGGGCACCCTCCTGAGTGTCGAAACAAGATCGCGGAAAATGATAGCTTAAACACGAAATATGACAACCTTATCAGCAGATACGCCTTTTTTCTCATAGAAATAGTTATTTTAGGTCTTCATTCAGAGTTTAGGCTTTAAGGTGTCAGTATTGTTCTAATTATCATAAAAAATTCAAACTGTACCTTTTATATGGAGTTATGTTGAAACTGTCCATTGCGTTGAATGTTTTATGTTGAAATAAATGTCCATGTAGTTGCATGGATTTTAGGGCATGAACTGTCGAAATTCCACAGTTGTTGATACCCTTTTCCACAGACTTTGCAATGGAAACGGTAGTTGTTGTGATGGATTCATATGTTCACATATAACGATTCGCCCAACGATTGAAATCCTTTTTTCCCCTGCTGATTCCAATGGTGACTGCAGCGGTAGGTATGGGATATGTGACTTTTCAAGAGTGTCGATAAAATTTACAAAATGTGTTATCGGAAGAAAGGTGAGATGTTTTGAAATTGATTCTGATCGCAAAGGCCAGTGAAGTACTGGAAAAACTGGAGAAATATGCTGCTTTCAATGGCGTCTTTTTCACGATTCTGACCGCTGTGTTTGAGAAACTGAAGTGAGAAAGTGAGTGAGTTTAGTTTTACGCCACACTCAGCAATATTACAGCTATATGGCGGTGGCATGTAAATAATCGAGTCTGGACCAGACAATAAAGTGGTCAATAGCATGAGCATCGATCTACGCAATTGGGATACGATGACATGTGTCAACCAAGTCAGCGAGCCTGACCTGACCACCCGATCCCGTTTGTCGCCTCTTGCGACAAGCATGGGTTACTGACGATCAATTCTAACCCGGATCTTCACGGGTCGCAAAAATACCGAAAACATAACGAATGATTTTGAAGATCTGACAAAGGTTGATCTTCTCATTCATGGTAATACTTAAATCAAATCACGTCTAGACCTCTTATTGTAGAGACGAACCCTTCAGAATTCAAAGAAAATATGAAACTTTGGAAAATTCATTCAAATTAGTAGGACCTCGATTATGTTTATATTGCCATGTATTTCAGGACAATTTCATCAGTTATTGCATGTTGCGGTACAAGGGTGACTTGGAGGTGACTGTCAAGTTGGAGGCGTGAATTTCGAAACATTGATGCCAACCACAGGTTCCCAAACTTTCTTTAACCCACACTTGTGACTTCATCCTATTGTTTTAGCACTCCATTATTTCTGAGGAATAGAGAGTTGCTAAAAATATGTCAAGTAATGGAGAGTTATTTCAGTGTTGTGTTAAGCTGGTACAGGCTAAGCGAGTACGAACAACAGCGTGACGTTGTAAGGAGCCCTTTCTAACCGATTATTTTTTTAGAGTATATACTTTTACGTTTTTATATAAGTTTCAAGTAGCGACATTAAATGTTATAATTATAAACAGTTTACTTACTATAATTTATTGGGGAATTAACACCATAACCCACAATTCCTTAAATATAGTACGTTTTATTACTCCCCTTTAGGTATAAATCACAACCACGTACAGTGGATGTTGGCATCATGATATTTTAATGCCTCGCTATACCGCTCTGTTGGTACAGTAGACGCGTCTTTCGAGGGTTCGACTCTCCCAATAGTATTTTTCCTTAACGGGGACATTTTGTGGGCAGTTTTATTGTGAATCACGCATGCATCCTCCGAAGGTGACAAGAACTGCGGAATATGTCTGAATATGAAAAAGTGAATAAAATCAGCAAACGTGTTAAAACCTGACAGGAAATCAGTGTCAACAGATTTGGCGATTAGATAATGCGGAAGTCAAGTTGGAAAAGACCTCAGATCTTCTTCCAGTCACTTGTATGGAACAAGACTTTCTGGAAACCGTCCATACACAAAGCTGTAAAGTCCAGTTTCATTACACAAAGCAGACGTAAATAAATCAGCTCCTCCTGCCTGCCCATCCTTCAGATAGACACATTTTACCCCTCATTTCCCCATCCAACAGTCACCCCTTCCACTATCCCTTTTTAAAATGAAAACTCCACCCATCCACCCCACCCCTTATTACATCCCCTTATTCCCAACTCCCAACAGTAGTGAGTCAGTTGTGATCCACGCGGCAAGAGAACAAAGACTCAAGCAGACAGACTAATCCTGGAGGTGTTTTGATATGAAGACATGCTAGTGTCTAAAGCATCGCCAAGAAAGTTCAACCTTTTAATTTTATTAATCCATCATATAGTTGACTTGAAATCATATAAATATCAACATCCATCACGACCAAAATCACTCGTCAGACAGTTTTTTATACTTTCAGTCAGAGTTGTGGCCTACGCCAAGTTCAGTTTCACCACACAAAGCTGAAGTAAATAAAATCAGAACATTTTACCATCACCTCTTGTGCCTCCATTTACTCTCTCAGCAAATACATATACTAGTATAGCAACAACACTAAGAAAGCAAGGTCTTTGACCTTTCGAAAATGTTTGGTAATCTCGACAAAGTATTCATAACTTGCATTTATTTATGAATCTCCAGGCACATCAATGATAATGGGTTCATTGAAACTCATCACTTTGGAATTATAAGAGCCGATTAATCTCTTGGTTTGTGATGAGTTTACAAGCTGATCCCCTTTCCCCTTTTGCTCCATCGTCACCTTCATTCTGTGAAAAAGAATATGATCATACCGTATATATCATGAGAATGTTCATTAGTCACATTGCAAGCTGAAAATAATGTTCTGATTTACTACGATATCATCCAGATATCATCTAGGGCTGCCACTGTACACACATTACTGCCTCCATTTGACTCGTCTTCACTCATTTGACAACGTGTACATTAATAACATGTTTTGAGAGCCAGTGCAGTTGTCTCACTGGTGGCAACTATGGTAACTGACAACAAACACATGTCATTGTCTGCCATTCAGATTGAATGAATGTCGTTTTTTCTCACCTGGCGACAACATTACAGTTCTTTCATGAACGCTGTCAAACGAAACCCTTAAGGATAAATAGCATAAAATGGTTAGAGAGCGGCGATTGATTTCGCTGATTTTGGTGATGCATGTCAACCTTTCCAAAATGCGTGATGTCATTCACTGGATTATCTGCTCCACATTCAATTATTTATAATAGATGAAATAGATGGAATATTACTGAGTACGGCGTTAAACAACAAACAAACAATAGTTAAGACTGAACTCTGGAAAGCCATGCTGAATATGTACAGTTTGGGACATTCCATACACCAGACTCCCCAGCAGCAGTGCTCTTTGCTAAGAGCCAAAAAGTATGGCGTGTCGCTGGTAAACTGGATGCATAAAATCCAGCAATCGTGTGATCTGAGGTAGGCAGATGGATGGGGGTGATGTATATCCATCATTGGTGTACATATACGTACCTGTGGAAGATGAAACCGACAATAATGAAGGTAATTACTGCAGCTAATACAGCAATTGCTGTTGGAAAGTATGGGGATGTTGTCCATCTGTCACTGAAAGATGTTGACGGCATTACAAAGTGTTGGTGAAACTCTGAAACAGGAAGTATATGGTACATTGCCTTTGTCAAAATTAAGCATGTTGATACCTGTTAAATGTACTCTCAGTTATATTCTTATATAGTTAGCAATGAAGAACTGGGATTGCGGACTAAAAAATATTTTGATATGTGTTCAAACCATATTGTTAAATATAATTACATTACATCTGTTTGTAGCATTCCTGTCAGCACCTTACCTCGACTGCTGTGTGACATGTTGATGTTGCTGGTGTGAATCTTGCGTGTGTTGTTACCGTGTGTCTGCCTTTATGCCACAGGCATGTTGTTTTTCTTCAGGCTTAGGTCAATAGCATCAGAAGAGTGTACAAAATTGATGACCCCTCCTGCCTCCCCATAACTCCACCCTTAAAAAGCATCATAACACCCCCCAACCCCCCGCCATAAATTATGAACGGTCTCTAAGCAAAGATGAACGACGGATTTGAAGTAAAAAGTATTTTATATGTGTGCTCAAACTCATATCGTTAAAAATCATATATATTACATCGGTTTGTAGCATTCTTGTCAGCACCTTACCTGGACTGCTGTGTGACATGTTGATGCTGTGTGACGAGCTTTGGTCAATATCATCAGGCGAATTGTTCAAGCACACTCCAGTGCTTTTATCACACTTAGAAACATGGGTATGGACATCGCTGTAAGCATCCAGGTCCACAGAAACCATCCCTACATTGTCCCACACAATCTCCCGTGTATCTATCACACTCCAGACACGGACGCTTACACCTAGTACTACATGTTAACCCCCTCCACCCCAACACACACCCCTCCGTACAGTTGACGGCTCGACCATTGGCCAGTAGGGCTCACCGTCCATTCAAACAGTTTCCTCGGGGCCCAACATAACCCACTATTTAAACTCGTCACACATAAATACAGCAACATTAAAAAATCAACACTCAAAAAATTCAAATTAAATCCCCTAAAAGCTCCATGCCTCACCAACCTCCATAAACTACTACAGGCACAACAGCTAAACGACATACAACACACACCTCCCATTACAAGCTTCATTCACGACATACCCACACCCACCACAGACACCACCCTAGACAACATTCTCCAGCAGTTACCAAAAAACACCAACAAACCCACCATAACTAACATCACAAACAACTACATCAACAATAACTACCCAACACACACCCATATATATACAGACGCCTCAATCAACCCAAACAAAACAACTGGTATAGGTATACACGTCCAACAACACACACACACACACCCCACCCCCCCCCCCACACCCCCATTACAACCAACCTCCACTATACAAACCACACCTCAATACAAACAGCAGAACTAACAGCTATCCTCACTGCACTCCACCTAATACCTACCCTCCCACAAACTAACTTCCTAATTCTCTCCGACTCACTAAACTCCATTAGGCAAATACATAACAAGTACTCCAAATCTCGCCCTGACCTCATTCATAATATCACAATCCAAACCGACTCACTTAAACGAGCAAATAAAAACATAACTTTCACCTGGATACCAGGCCATTCAAACATATTAGGAAACGACACAGCAGATACAGCAGCCAAATTAGCAACAACACAAAAATCACCAAATATAAACTTTCATACATCCAAAACAGAAACTAAACAACTCATTAAATCAAATATTCTTCATACTGACTTTCAACACAACATAAACAACAACAAATCATGGGTTACTTCCATTATAAAATCACCCTACATAAAATCCCTACATTCTCAAACATTAAAAATATTGACACGGCCATAAACAGACTCATCACAGGCATCACAAACCTTAACCACACATTTTACCACCGCTTGTCCCTCAACCCGGCCTATGCCTCATTGCGCCTCCCTCGCTCCCCTCAGCCCCCTATCCCCGTCCAACTTAACACCTCTTTTTACTCATTCTTTATATACCCCCATATATAACTTATGCAGCTTAACTGCATTTAAATATCTGCCCCCTATGCTATACTTGTCCGGTACTCACCCCCTCACCCCCAGGCCCCCTTTTATGTCACCTATCGTTTATTTCAACTCTATCTCTTACTTATTAACAATCACCATTCCTATTTATCCATCCTTTCTCCTTTTGTTAACTTGGCCTTTTATTATTTTTTTATCTCTATTTATGTTTAGAAACGTTTTTTATTCCAAATTCCACTTAGGTTTAACGCCCCAACATGTATATTTTAATGTAATTTTATTACTTATTACATTAGCTTCCACCAACCCCGTCGGTGAAATTGGCTTACGCCAGAAGCCGACGTAAAACTTTTAATTTCGTCGTCGTCCGTCTACAGTCTGGCCCATACAAGCCGCTGACACAGTCAGTACATTCCTCGGGACACTGGTCTGCGCTGCGGCAGTAGTTCACACAGTCTTCCTTCTTCAAGTGTCTTGGAGTTTTATGCACGCACTTACTGCCACCTTCAACATACGATAGGTCACCTACATCACAATATGACAGGATCGATGTTATTGGTCTTTATTTTCCCTTTGAATTGTGTTTTATTATAAATAATGTACTTGCCACTGGTAAATGTAACCTCTTTGGGAAAGAATTAATGCAAAAAAAGAAGTGAAGGTGGCCCAATCAATACATAGATGCAACTTGAGATAGAGTGGGCCGTTGTTTCAAATGCCAATATACAGATATGAAAGTGTTGATCAAAGTTTTACACATGGAAAAAAAGTGAAACAATGGTCGTTGCACTCATGACAGTCGGATACATTATTGTATTTATAGTCATTGTTTCATTGGCATATGTTTAAGGTAAGAAAAGTGTAGAAACAATGGATCGAGTACCTCATATGGTATTGTAGTGATCAAGAGCAAAAGATACATTCACGAAGATTTAATACAAGCACTCTTCAACTATATAGATGGTGTGCCTTACCGTGGTGTATCAGGAGAAACATGTACATAGCAAAGCCAAATGTTGTTGGTAAAACTCCACGGTGTCGATCCCGACTCATTTTGTATGGAGGTAAAAGGGATAACGGTATCATGTCTTCAACCAGCAAACCATGTAAACGTTTTGACTGGATGTACGTGTGCAGTGACATGTAAGCTTATGTTGTTTTGGTTTAAGTAGTTTGGGGTTAGGTCCCTGGTGATTGATGTTTAGGGGTTCGCCAGGAGATGGGGTATGATATTGGGATAGAGGCAAGGGATTCCTTATTGGGTGAATAAGGAGTGAAGGTTATGCACACATTTTACGTTTTTAATATGTTGGATACATTTCCAAGTGCTGTACAAATCTGAATGACACCAACCGGAACTAAACACATGTAGCTTAGTTAAACAACAAAATACAAAATGACCGACATTTGTAATCTCGTTTTGACCATTCTGAATATTGTACACGCACAGTCAGTTTTGTATGTAGATATATTTTATAAGCATAAAAGATGAAATGAATTGTACAAAAGCAGTCAAACATAAAATGTCCTATTCGTAATTTTGTGTGATGGCGAACTCAATTTTGCTATGTTTGCACTTCGTTTGATGTTGTGTGGAAGGATGAATAAAACGTTTTCATTGCTGCGCTTAGCCGTGGTATTGTCTTTAATTCCACCTGTTGTGATGGCGAACTCAATTTTGCTATGTTTGCACTTCGTTTGATGTTGTGTGGAAGGATGAATAAAACGTTTTCATTGCTGCGTTTAACCTTGGTATTGTCTTTATTTCCATGTGGAGAGAAAACGGACACACGTTTTTTTGTGATATTTAATTCTTATTGTTTGTTACTAAAGTTTACATTCACACAATTACATTCCTAAAGTAGCTTCATGGTGAGTTCTTACTCACAACATTGTCTTCAAATGAGCCTTGATTGGTGTCATGTTTGCAGAGGCATTTGTTTGGGTTGGGCACACAAGCTTTGCTGTGATGTTTTGATTGTAATGCCTAATCCGAGAGTTTCTGAGTGAGACATGGAAGCCAACCAAGTGGCGGGAATTACAACTGAAAGCGCCAATCGTTGATCGGTTGTTTAATCGCATAAGTGAATGGGGTGAGTGAGTCGTGTCAGGTTTAAGCTACCAACCGGCCTTAATCCATGAATGATTGACTCTGTGACCTCAATGCAGAGCTTAATACAAACACTTTTCAATCGCACTGGCTATATATACCTAGCAGTCAGATACGAGCATCACGGCACTTGTGCTAACATTGTTTGACACAACTCATTGTCAAGACTTCATTCAAGCCATGGCCTACACACTTTTTAAAGGTCCTGTTTCAAAGACAGTCCAATTTGCCATCCTAGGACATAGCTTCGTGCGGCGACTTGATCAAGTCTGTCCCCCTCCACGTGGCATCATCACTTCCGTGCGTGGGATCGGAGGGGCGACTGTCGCTCGGATGAAAGCAGAGCTGGATGCCCTTGATGCGGGTTTTCAGGGCATTGTTTTCTTTCAAGTGGGAGAGAACGACGTGTCGGCGTCAACTGATCCTGGTTGAGGACTTGCTGGATCTTCTGGACTACCTTCGGTGGAAACGGCCGGGCTCCAGAGCAGTGGCAGGAAGTCTGTTCCCGAGGGTAAAACCAAGGAACTAAAGGTCTCTGCCTACAAGCGGAAGGTGGAGGAGGCGAACCGGTGCTTGAAGAGGATGTTGCGACGCCGTTTGGATGCCACCTTTTGGGACCACAGCCAGCACATGAGAATGGGACCTGCACTGTTAGGCAAAGGATGGCGTCCACTTGACGTCAAAAGCCAATGCCCTGTTCTGGCTTTCCATTCGTAAGTGTATGTGTAGGTACGTTTAAACGCCCATGCCCTGTCCGGTAGATAGTCGTAATTCCAAAACTCAATAACTGTGGTTTCGGCCCATTGTGTTTATATATACAGCAGTAGCAAAAGGGTTCCGTGTGTGAGACAATCAGAGCAAACGGGACGCACAGATCAGATCTGGGTGTTATCAAATCTGAGCTGTTTTGACTCCCGTCACACGCATGGGGCTTAGCTTGGGGTGGCTTTAAGGGTGGGAAAACGTTACGACACCCGCACGTGTCGCATATGACGTTAAAGCTAAGACACAGGGCTTTCGATCCATAGTAACAACAAAACCTGTGGTTGATGTACGAAACATAACAAGCACCTGCAGCGTGAGATACTGCCGTAAATCGGGTCAAATCGGGCTTAAAAGCGCCCCGGCATCGAACCTGTTAAAGACAGGTCACTCCTGATGATACCACCAGTTGGCCCTGAGAACCAGCTTCACGTCGTTTTAACAACAGCACCCACCGTTTCTGGCCCCCTGACACAGTGCTTGCTGTCATTATCTTGAATAGTTACACCGCAGATGCAGAGAAACCACAAGGAAAATATGGTGATTTACTTACATTTGCAATTTGCAAAGTATATATTTACAAAAAGTTTTGATGATATTTACAAAGCTTGTAAACATTTGTAAATTTAGGAAGGTTTTTACCACTACTTCTTTCAGTTTCTCCTTTTTCCAAGGATCCCCTGTTTCAATACCCCATGTTAATGTCAGGAGGAGTGTATTAACTGAACTATTTCACGCATCTTTTGGTCTATTTGAGTTCACATTGTTCATGTACATAGAGCTTCTTACGTGTGACATATGTATACATGAGTACTGCAGGAACAAGCCGTACTTTAATAGCTATCCATTTATGCTATATATTAACGCAGCAGTTACTGCATCTGACGCATGAAGACATAGCATACATGTTGTCTTTCAATACAAGTTGGGATAATGGTGTGTTTTTTTCTATTCGCCGACGTCTGTGATTACCTAGCAACCAATTCTATATATTAGTATAACTACTAATGAGGAAAATCTTGAAACAACGTAAATCTGGTCATAGCATGTGTTTCCTACAATGTTTGCATATATTTCGATGGTGTACAGTCCGGATTTTTGGTCCTTGGATGATGCACCAGGCTTTATCATCCACTCTGCATATCTTGGCCATGTGGAACCTCACACACACACACACACACCATTAGACCATAGATTTAACAGTAATGCAGTTTATCAGCACAGCGGCTCAGTGACTTAAATTTGCTTACACAAAGTGCGGATCAGAGTTGAGAGAGAATGGCTGTTACATGAAGTCACTCGCCATTGTCGCTGTTTCCTCTGATGACTGAACCACATTTATGGTTATATGAGTTACATATTTAAAAATGTTCTTCCAAAGGAAATACATATATATATATATATATATATATATGCTCTCTTGAACGTAATATAGAAATAGTTCGGTTACGCTACGTGTTTCAACAGTTTATAACTTTCCAGTGTCCATGTTCAAGTTCGTGTTTTGAAACCTGTCCCTTGTTTATGTACAGTAAATTTTCAATGATACCATTTTCATGCAATTAACACTGTTAATCTCAATCTGGATACTTGTAAAGTACGCCCCCGTATCTTAGACGTGGACTGTGTGAGTCTAGCATTGGGGTAAACCTTGTTAGTACTAACCTGAACATTCTGTGGTTAGTTCCAAGGCGACAAAATATCTGGAGTGTGGGAGGTATCATACTGTTTTTCTACAATAATTGCACTGTTCTTGCTTTGGGCGAAGGTTTACGATTGTTGTGTACCCACTGGTGGGGCTGGGTGACCTGCTGAACATTAGAGATAAATAGACTGCACTTCTAGCCGGGACTAGTGTGGCGATCCTATTCATTACTGTTCCCCTCATGAGCAACAAGAAATCCGACACAAACATTACCCAAGATGTATGTCTCTAATGTCTTTCGTTTACGAATTACACAAACTTGCATACATTTTTATATAAACTCAATCTGCATCCTTGTTCTCTGTGTCAAATATTGATATTGACTGTATGATAAGACCAATGTTATATTTACCGCTAGTATGGCTAGGAGTTCCCAAAATACCCTTTAAAGTTGTATTCATGTTTTATCTTTATTCACAAAGGCGCAAATATATTTAATTGTTTTCCCTACAAACCAGACCCACTAACTGATTGAACATTGTTTATTACAGACGGACAGACAGACATATTCCATTTAAGGGTAACAAGTATGTAAACAGGATAAAATACAATAAACACATAATTTTTTGCATAGACTCAGATAAAAAGTATATATACAATAAACACAAAAATCTTTACATAGACCCATCCTTAGACCCTACACAACTAAAAGTGGGGTCAAATTACATCATAAAAATATTTTTATAAAACACAAACAAACACACACAACAACCAACCCCCTCCCCCAATACACACAGTATAAGCTGGTTTACCGGTATTTACCGGTTCAGTCAGGAGGTACAAATTGCATTTAGCCCATGCATAAAAAATATTTAACATCACACACCAGTTTTGCGAATATTAACGAAGTTGTATTGTTTGTAAATCATATATCTACAAACTTGTAAATTTCTAAACCTCATCCTTACAAAATTACATATATCTTGTAAAATCGCATCTTTAATTACAAGCTTGTAAATGTAGACTTTTTTGCAGTGAACAGGACGTTGGCTTACGTTCACGTTCAAAAATATAGGGAATAGGAAAAGTAATTTGTATATTCTTTTGAAATAAGTAAATCGGTTTGCTTTCAGCCACACGTGTCTTACATTAAAGTGTCAGAACGTGTCAAAAACTGCAGAATACGAAATAACAACTAAGAACATGATGAACTTCCTGTTTAGTGAAAAGTTTCTTCTATACAGCATAGGTGGTGGTTAAAAGCTAAATAAAACCCATATGTTTATCAACGATAACTTCTCAAACAATATTCGGCTAAATATTTGTTTGCTCCTGGCACAATGAAATTGGGATAGTAATCTCATATTTGTATAAATGTTCATCGATTTGAAGAAAGACGTAAATTCTTGTAAAGGAATCAAAGAATGCAAAAAGTTAAATTAAACTTAATAAGTTCAGAAAAACTGTTGGATGTACAAATACACATAGTGATCGACAGTGTAAGGGGGGTAACTCTAGACGAGAGTGAATATTCTGTACAACGTGTTGGTTGCCCTGTTTAGCTCAAAATCAGTAGCGGAAATGTGTAATGTCCTCTCATGGCGCCTTTTGGTTTTTTTTTCAAAAGACACACAATGGGCGTTTATATAGATATGAAAGATGGGTGAGTGTTGTACAGACTAATGAACCTGTTTAAGCTAAAGAGAATACTCGACTGCTGTGCGTGATGAAATAGGAATATATCCCCTATATTACAGTGGGAGTTGCCTAGTGGTCTTTATGTGAAGTCGTTTACAGGTGTCCCCTGCCGTGGTTGTGCTCCAACAATGCTAAAAGCGGCGTAAAACCACATTCATTCCCTCTTTAATGCAATGATTTAATGGCTATCCTGGATAAGAATACCAATTTCAGTCACACATGTCACTGGGCCCCTTCCTCCTCCTTCATCAGCACGGGATGGTGGAATGACCTGTAATGATGAAACCAGTTAGAATTATCTGCATGTAAGTGATACCAATTGTGATATGACGACTGACTATGACAGTGGGTACAGATACTGCCTTTTATGCCATGGACTAAATTGGTTGAAAACACCATATAGTCATCATCGTTGACCATTTTACCACACGGAAGAACACAAGCATCTACTGTAAGTTGTTTGTGAACCTACAGGGGAGGCATTGGGCACAAGTCCATCATCTACTGTCGCCTTTTCCTTATATACAAACATTATATCAGGTAATAAAAATGTACAATGTATACTATACATTCTGGAAACAAAGTGCACAGTGAAGATAAATTTATATAGCAAGCTTAAGTGTGCGGTATGCTGGAACATATGGAAATATTATACAGTTTAGTATTTAAATATAGATTAAAATATATTTATGATTAACAATTCCGAATCACTATTCCAAGCTATGCTACATTTGTGATGAACATTATTTATTATTTACATTATTATTATTATTATATACACTATTTTAAACAGTATGTGAAATCATCATGTATTTTAAACCAAAGGCAAACTTACAACGATTGTCACAGACAGAGTTTTTAAGCTGCCTGAGCCTGTTCTTTTCAGTAGTTTCTTCAAGGAAAGTGAACTCTGACAGATAGCCTTGGACAACTTTACATGCACTGGTTTAGTGAAATAGTTCACAGAAAAAACATAATATACAAGGATATAATTATAGATGTGTTTTCAATAAACAATTACGTAACTTCACCCTGAACAGCACTGCGGATACTATTTAGCATTTGAAATGAATAGGTTCCTTTATTTTCTGTTAGTGATATAATCAAAGGGAGACTACTCTACCCTGCTTCCTGACATAAATAACGTATGATCATTCTGATCCATTGATGTACACATAAATGATGAATTTAAAGATAAATAATCGCTATTCTAACAACTGTGGGCGTACTACTGGAGGTACATGCGATCGAATGTATTCGTAACATATATCCATGGCCTCCATGAAGTGGATAATGCACACAATCTCATTTTCTGGCTTATGTACATATAACTGTGTCATTAAAGGCTACATTAGGAGGGATATAACATATACACATTTGGTGCACGATAGTTTATTCGAATAGTCCCAGATAAGTAAATGCGACAGGCACCCATGAAGGGCCACCTCCTCGTGGTGGGTGCTGGGTTACGCTAAGCGCCCTTCAACCCCCGTTGTGGACCCGGGGGGGGGGGGGGGGATATTTTGGTCCACCAACCCGTTTGCTGTGGGTTGCGCCCCTGTGTCGGTGGAGGACGGGAGTCTGGTGGTTGAGGGCAGTAGGAGCCTGGAACCGTGTTCCTATTGCCCAACACACCACTTCGGCCCTTACTTCACCTAGACGGGTGGTAGAATCGGCCCGATTCTATCAATCGGCTGGTCACGCCATGCCCTGTGCGTAGAAAATATTTTTGCACTTTGGAATAATTGGGTATTGGTCATTTTGACGTCTAGTGTACAAAATTATTGATATATTTACTTGCCTAGAGTCCTATGCCAGAAGGCGGTGGCTCATGGGCCAATCTGGCGATGTTGACCGCTGAATAATGTATGTCTCTAAGTTATTGTTATGGGCAGAACCACCCTTACAAGTAACTTAGTAGACAAATATAGCTATTCAAGTCATATTTGCTTGAGTATAACATCCCTGTATCCCTGGTGTTTGCATGCTGGAGACCCGATGCAGTTAGACACCGTCCTCGTTGACACTCCATGGCGGGTGGGGACCAGGGCTGTCGAATCAATTTTATATCACCATGGCTCACAATCATTCTGGTTCTAGTCGCAGTGAAAAGAAGAGACGTTTGGAAGCTGAGATATTGTCCTCTGATGATGATATTTCTCTTCCTCAAAATTCAAATTCCTGGGCCCGATTTATTGTCGTTGACTCAAAAGATGGACTCCCTTTGAAAATCAACCCTTTTGCTATTAGCAAAGCAATTGAAGGCATTTGTGGCGAAGTAACAAATGTTTCACGGCTCCGAGGCGGCTCTCTTTTGGTAGAATGTGCCCGACGACCACAGGCTGTTAATCTTTTGAAATGTACCACTTTTGTCAATACTGAAGTCACTGTCTCAGTACACCGAACTCTAAATTCCAGTCGAGGGATCATCCGCGACAGAGCCCGTTGTCTCGCGGAAATGACTGAGGAAGAAATACTGAAAGAACTTTCTGGGCAACATGTGACCTCAGTGAAACGTTTCATGAGAAAAGATGGAGATGTAATTATCCCAACAAATACTTATTTGTTCACTTTTTCGCTGACTGCTATCCCCAAATCCATTAAGGCAGGCTATTTTAACATCGGAGTGGAGGTGTATGTCCCCAATCCACTCCGGTGTTACAATTGTCAGAAATTTGGACATGGTTCCAAATTCTGCAATCGTCCATCTCTATGCCATCGTTGTGGAGGGAACCATGAAAGCTCTGGTTGCAAAGCAGAACTGAACTGTGTTAATTGTAAAGGTCAACACGACGCATCTTCCAAATCTTGTCCTTCCTGGATATATGAAAAGGATGTTTTGACTGTAAAATGTCAAAACAACATTTCTTTTCAAGATGCTAAAAAGGTTGTAGCTAGCCGGCTACCACCCTCAACACAAACCTATGCTGCTGCTGTTTCCCGCACTTCCTCTACTAGATCAATTGAATGTCAAACTGACTTGACATGGGCGAAAACGGAACACCCTGAGCCTATTACCAAAGCCTCTAACAGTCAGACGAATCATTCAGACAGTCAACAATGTGCCACTTCTCCAACGTCTCAGTCTACACCAGCTACTGCAACAACAGCTCCAATACAAGTATCAAGCGAAGTGTCAAAACATCAAAAGAAAAAACAAAATAAGAAAATTAAAACTAAGATTGCCACTCCTACTGAAACGTCAGTGGATCTACACAACTTTTTTGACCCTCTCGAGATGGATTTTACTCCATCTTCAGAACGTATGAGTAGTAATAACTACTCTTCACGTTCACGTGAGCGATCACCTATAGACCCACCATGAGCCATTCCAGTCTTCTTCAATGGAACTGCAGAGGACTTAGACATAATTTCCATGAACTGCAGTTATTAACAACAGATATAAACCCATCAGCTATTTGTTTACAGGAAACGTACCTTAAACATACCGATAATTGTGATGTAAGACGCTTTAATTCTTTTCATTCTTTTTCTCCACCGGGTGCTAAGGCTACCGGGGGTGCTTCTGTTCTGGTGCGACAGGGTGTTATTCACAGTCCTGTTCCCTGACCACAAACCTCCAAGCTGTAGCAGTTCGTCTTACACTGCAAATTACGTTCACACTTTGTTCCTTATACCTTCCACCTTCTTCAAATATTCAGAAGCTTGAACTCCAAAAATTGTGCGACCAGCTCCCTAAACCCTTTATCATCATGGGTGACCTAAATGGACATAATCCGTTATGGGGAAGTTCAAATATTAATCAAAAAGGAAAAGTGGTCGAAGATTTCATATCTGATAACGACCTTTGCATCTTTAATGATGACTCAAAAACGTACTTACATCCTGGTACAGGTGCATATTCATCACTAGATCTGTCACTTGCAGATTCAAATTTGTTGAGTGAATTCACATGGTCAGTCCACGATGACATGTGTGGAAATGACCACTTTCCAACTATTTTGAAACCTGTGTCCCCAGCTGATGTTCCTCCGTCATCACGATGGAATTTTAAAAAAGCTGACTGGCATTTATATGACACTCTTTGCACTAACAAATTGAAACCTGAGCTTTTCATGGACACCCTTGATCCTATAAAATGTTTCTCTGATGAACTAAATATAATTGCTGATGAATGTATTCCCAAGTCCTCTGCTGTTGCTCACATACGAAAACCATGGTTTGATGACAACTGCAAACAAGCAAGGAAGGCACGGAAAAAAGCTGAACACTATTTCCGTCGCCATCCTATGGTCCATAATCTCAATAAATTTAAGATCTTAAATGCCAAAGCTAGGCGTACTTTTAAACAAAGTAAACGTCAATCCTGGAGAAATTATGTATCAAACATCAATTCACGTACGCCCATGTCCAAGGTATGGAATATGGTACAAAAAATCAAAGGTAAAGGCTCTAAAACTGGCATCCGCCATCTTAAAAATGGAAATGATTTATTAACAGATACTTCAGATATTGCAAATAAACTAGGTGAAACTTTGGCTAAGCACTCTTCCTCCTCTAACTATGTACCCAAATTTCAAAACTATCAACAGCAACAAGAAAAGAAACCTATTAATTTCAACACGGATAATGGGGAGGACTATAATGAATTATTTTCTATTCATGAGCTTCATAAAGCTCTTGACCAAGCTCACGATACCGCTGCAGGATTTGATAACATACATTATCAACTCCTGAAGCACTTACCAGAATCCTGTTTAGAGACACTTTTACATATCTTTGATAGTATTTGGACGTCTGGTGCATTTCCTTCTTCATGGCGTGATGCAATAATTGTTCCAATTCCAAAACCTGGCAAGGATCATACAGATCCTTCCAATTATCGACCAATTTCACTCACTAGCTGCGTTTGCAAAACCATGGAACGCATGATCAATAATAGATTAGTTTGGTACTTGGAAACCAACAACTTAATAACTGATATACAGTGTGGTTTCCGTAAAAACAGAAGTACAATTGATCATTTAGTGCGTTTGGAATCTTTTGTGAAAAATGCCATAATTAATAAACAACATGCAGTGTCGATCTTTTCGATCTAGAAAAAAGCATACGATACTACGTGGAAACATGGTATCTTAAGAGATTTACATGATTTTGGATTACGAGGCCGTTTGCCTCAATTTATATCCAACTTTTTTACATGATAGACAATTTCAAGTCCGAGTGGGTTCTACCCTGTCTGACCATTATAATCAGGATCAGGGTGTCCCTCAAGGCAGTATTTTGTCTGTCACACTGTTTAGCATTAAGATAAACAGTTTATCCAAGGTTTTAAATGATTCAATAGATGGATCACTTTTTGTGGATGATTTTAATATTTCTTGTCGTGGTAAAAATATGCATACTATTGAACGACAACTGCAGTTGTGCTTAAACAAGATAGATAAATGGTGTCTCGAAAATGGCTTTAAATTTTCTAAATCCAAAAGTAATTGTATACATTTCTGCCGTAAGTACAAACCGCATAAAGACCCGGAACTATCTCTAAATGGCACTCCCATCAGAGTTGTGAAGGAGGCCAAGTTCTTGGGTATTATTTTTGACTCACACTTAACGTTTCTACCACATATTAAAGCCCTTAAAAATAAATGCCTAAAGGCACTTGACTTGATGAAAGTCGTTTCAAATTCTAAGTGGGGAGGGGATCAAGCTACCCTCTTACATCTATATCGATCACTGGTCCGTTCCAAACTTGATTATGGTTCCATCGTATATGGTGGAGCCTGCAACAGCAACCTAAAACTACTTGATTCTGTCCACCACCAAGGCCTAAGACTTTGTCTTGGGTCTTTTAGAACCTCTCCAATTGATAGTCTCTATGTTGAGGCTGATGAGCCATCACTTACCCAACGTCGTATCAAACTATCTTTGCAGTATATAACAAAACTCTATTCTAACGAGTCTAATCCTGCTTTTAACTGTGTTTTCAATCCTTCTTATGAGCAGTTGTACAACAAAAAGCCTTCTCTTGTTCCGCCTCTTGGGCACAGAATTAAACCATTCCTTACTGCTGCTGGCATTGAGCTGGATAATATATCTCCTTCTGGTATTCTTTCTTCTCCTCCTTGGCAATTGGTGAGGCCAGAAGTTGACTTAACATTAACCACTAATGATTTACAGTATAAACAAGAATTTAGTCAATTAAGAAATAAATATAATACCTATAAATCCTTATATACAGATGGATCCAAGGATGGTGGCGCGGTTGCTTGTGCCACTGTCATTGGGTCCAAAATAATATCTTCCAGACTACCTAATGACAGTTCAATTTTCACAGCAGAAGCAAACGCAATACTAACAGCTCTTAAATATATTAATAAACACCGTAAATATAAACAATATATCATTTTTTCAGATTCTCTTTCGTGTCTTCAGGCTATTAAAAATCTTTCTTGCAAACATCCACTTTTAT